TAAATGTTGGTGTCCAGGAGCAGAATCTCAAGTCTCCATTTTCCTCAGTTTTGTCAGTTAGAGCCCCATGAAAGCCACACAACAAATGGTCCAATAAAGAAGCGTAGACTGTGAAACAAAGAACAATGCATCCAGTGATTTTCTTGTGTGTCAAAGGGGTGTCAAAAATGACACTTTTGTGCTGCAACCCCTGTTCCCCTTGAGGGGTGCCTGTTATCAAACTGGCTCACTTTACAAGTCAAAACAAGTTGTTTCTAGCTGTCAGCCCTGCCTGGCATCTGCAAATCAAGCTGTGTTCGCTCTGCTTTATGCGGTACCACCAGCTATAAAGATCTCAGACGCTGAATGTAATTGGCAATTCTCTTGTTGATGCATGAGATAAAATTGAAGCCTGTTTCACTCCTCAGCTGCTATTTTGGATCTGAAATGGTGACAGTGGGTTAAAAAAAAGTTATCTGTCACTTAAATAACCAGCTACTGCATGACTCAGAAGATGCAAAACCAGCAGAGACATCTAGGGTTTGAGGTGCTATTTTTCATCTTTTCGATTACCAAGCCAACCTTTGGTTGGAAGAATGAAGCAAAATAGTCGTTCTTGTAAAACCGGGCTGATTTAGTAATTTATTGGCAGTTGTGTTTAAAATTAGTTTCACATTCTTGCTAATTTGTATAAATTTACATGCATAACCTTTTAAGTGTGAAGCAATCTTTGTCTGCTACTGAGCTTCAAAAAACATCCTCTCTTTAGAAAACCAGGGACAGCTCCTAAGAGATGATTCTTATATCTTCTAAATTTTTACTATTACAACCTTTTTGTTGGAATTATAGCAACCTGTGTATTGTGCCTTAAGAGATTTGGATGGGAAGGACTTCGGCTTGAAAGTCAACCACTTGTTCCCTCTCTGCCTCAGATTCCTTTTCCTGCCACGGTTCAGTCAGGGTTCAGAGTCAATTAGCAGTGTTAGTGTTCTGTTAGCAGAGTCTGTCATCTATGGAGTTAGCAGTTAGAATCTGTGTAAAGTGCTTAGGTAACCATTTCATAAAAACGTTAACCAATTAAGATCTTAAACTATGTAACAAATAAATATGTTTGTTAGTTATTCTGATATATATGAAGATTTTGTAAGTAAAAGAGAAACATTTTTCCTCTCAACACCAGACTACTGCCAGTTGAGATGAATCTAACTAAAAACTAAGTAACAGTAAGGGGTGGAATATTCGAGGGAGACTTGCTCTATAGATCCCTGTCTGGATTTTTTCTTCTTCTTTGCTGTGTAGCTGGAGGTGTTAAGCCAGAAATTTCCACATACTCTGCCAATATTTTTAAGGTTACCTTAGAGCTGTCCCCAGTATATCATCTACTATAATTAGAAACTAGAACTGGCAGTCACCAAAGTGCACCTCCTTCTCCCTGCCCCTGCCAGCCCTTGTTTTTTTCCTTACAGGAAAAGCATGGAGAAAAATTATTAGTGTCCGCAGAGACATGGCCTGGATCTCACTGTCCTTCTTAGTATGCATCAAATTCACTAAATGTAGGGGTCATACTGACATTCATTTTGTTTTAGAGCAGCCCAGCATCAGTCTGAACATTTCCTGAATGATATCAACACAGTCCTACTGGTTAAAGTTAAACCAGTCCTGGGTCTCTGTTTAAACTGTTTAAACTAGGCAGCTCTGTCCAGTTTGGGTCAAATAAGTAATAAGTGTAGCAATTTGACTGTTATGATGAGTTAAGTTGGGATAATACCTCTGCCACCAAACCAGACTGATCTCACTGATTTCAGAGGCCAAGCTTGATCAGGTCTAGACAGGAGACTGGCTAGGGAATACCAAAGGGTTCTGCATATGGTTAGGGAAGACTCCTTCCTGAAAACCTGAAGATTAGAGATGGACATGAACTGTGGTTCAGCTTGGTTCAGTGCAGCACCCGCAGAAGTGTTCCATGGGCACTGTGCACTTCCCTCCCTCGCCTCCTCTGGGTGATCACCCACTCACCAGCAGCAGTGCTCTTTCTTCCCTGCCTCCTCTAGGTGAGCAGGTGGCGCGGGGAAACTTGGGGCGCTGCTGGTGAGTGGGAGATCACCTGGAGGAGGCAGAGGAGGGAAGCATACTGCTATCCCAGAGGAGGTGGTGGAGGAAAGCCCACAGTGCCCATGGAAGTGCAGGTGCCACACTAAACTAAGTCCATGCCCATCTCTGCTGGGGATCATTTGCTGCATATTAGAATTGATAATACTGGTCTGGGTGATCCAAGGGTCTGACATAGTAAAAAATAAAAAACAGTTTCCTGTTTTCCTAATACAACTTCTGGCATAGGGATTTTGGAAAATCTTCTGAAACCACCCAAATACCTGCCTCAAGCCAAGGATAGTCTTTGGCATTCTTGCTTTGTTCTACACGGCCTCTCTAAGCTTCAACTAAGTGTTCTAATGCTAAAGGTGCTGCCAAGCATTGTAATTTTCTGATCTGGAATATAACCACCAGTGATTTGTAATGCTCCTTTTAAACCTGAGGGAAGTGTTATGACCTGATATCACTTAATCTAAGCAGAATGCCTTTATCTTTATGACCAAGCAATTCAACACTTTGTGGTTTCTGCTGTTGCTCTAGTACAGGTGGCATACTTTTCCTACTTTTCCCCTATCTTTTTATTTTATTGTAATTATTATTGAACTGATCATGTACATGCTTGTGTTTTAATGTTTTATTGTGTATTGGAAGCCGCCTAGAGTGGTCTGGTAGTCCAGATAGGCGGGGTATAATTTAAATAAATAAATAAATAAAAGATGATGTCCTAGAGATGGGGGTATTCCCATTCATTTAGGAATACCCCCACACAGGTGGCAAGGTCCAAGAGTGGCAAGTGGATTGCCCGCCACAAATCCATTGGTAGAATTGCGTGGTCCGCATCCACGGCAGATCAGTGAGTGGACTGTCTGGCCCCATGGGGCTGGACCCTCATTAACGCCACCTGTGGGGGGGTATTCGTATTTGAATACGAATATACGAATACCCTTTTTGTTTTCTTCTCTGCTCTCTCTTTCTTTTTCTTGCCTTCCTCCTCCCCTGGTCCCTAGGTCAGTGGGAAATGCAGCATTTCTCAGACATCAGAGCCAATGTGTACTGGTTAGCGTGGTTGTAATGGTCAGACTGTTGGGCTACGACTTGGGGAGGCCTGTGATCCCTCACTTTCCTTCTTTCTCTTGGTTTTTTCTCGCCCAAATGCCCAAAATACAAGGAAATAGGGATATTCCATAGCATTTCCAAAGCAAGAAGGGCCTCTTTCTGCTTCAGAATCAATACAAGTCTTCTCTCTTTTTTTCAGCCATTCTTAGTGAGCAAAAGATGGGTTGTTCTTTCCTCTTCTCACTCTCCAAAATGAAAGCTATATACATACAAATTTAGTTCCAGCTTCCAGACAAAGATTTCTGGGAAGGTAAGAACATATATAGTCCAATGCCACATGTTAAACATGTCTGATGGGAGTGGCTGCATCAGAGTTTGCTGCTAAATATGTCCTTAATTACTTCACTGGGGCCATGGATCTTGTAATCCTCTTTTAGAATTACACTGATGCCCTCTGCCTGCATGCATGCAACTATAACACAGCCTGAAAGTTATGGCAGATAAGGTAATCAACTGGTCAGGAAAGCTACGTATTATCTCCAGTATCTGAAACAGTAATCCTCTGTATTCCAGTTTCTGTAGAACATAAGCGAGTCTTCATTTAGCCATTTGGTTTGACAGAATATTGGATCTAGAGGGCACTAATCTAATCCAGCAAGATTGCTTCTTCTTTTCTCGCATTACATTTTCCCCCTTTCTCCTGATACCTGGGTAGGACTTCTCCTCCTCTTTCTCTTAGTGCTGGTTTTCAACCTGAAACAAGTGGGCGCTGTAGCTTCCTATAACTTAGTGGGGTTTTGTTTCATGCGTTTTAGGAATAAAGAGCCTGCTGTGAATGGGGTTGCCATGTCACAGAGCACCATCTGAAGTCTCAGTAATTGCTGAATCTCCAGTTGGGGAGAAAATCTTAGGTTAAGTGGAGGTTTGAGAGTTTGATTTTTGTTTCTGAGGCAGCTTTAAAGCTTGGACACCTATCTCCACTTCTTCCTAGCTGGCACCAGGGCTCACCTGTACATGTGATATGCCTGCAAATTGTCAGCATCTGAAAAAAAGCAGGAGCGAGGGAGGAGGACTGAGGAGAAAACTAGTGAGTACATGCACTTCAGCCCCTTGGCTGCATTCACATGGAACGATGCAGGGTGGAGCGCCACAATCATAACTCATGAGCCTTCTTGTTGCACAAGCCTTGGCAGCAACAGTCCAGGGCTTGGAAGCAAATCCTCATAGATAGATGGTGAACCACTCTTAAGCTATCATATGATTTCATCACCTGTACAGCCATTAAAAGGCTTTTTTCCCTACTTGCTCTCTGTTAGCATACTGCCAAATTAGTTGAGTTTTACGCATTCCACATGTGCTATGAAGTGATTTCAGAGTCCCATCCCAAGTGCTGCCTGGGAGATACTCACAATTAGTCTTAACCACTCTGTCTAGTGCACTATGTCTTCTGAGAGTACTTTAGAGACAATGGAGCTGATAGGTACAAGAAATGTATAATCTCCAAAAAATAAGCCATGATTCAGGCAGTAGTCTGACATGAGTAAAGTTCTGATTCTTAAAGTTCTGAGGGGAAACCGGGCTTTCTATTTTCCCTCAATTTTGACCAGTTTTTTTTCTGTGCCATCATAAGAATCCACCTCTGTGACCTCAAAATGTCCTGTCCCCATAATATTCCACCACAAAAAGTCTTGCTCACTAATTTTTTTTTGGGGGGGGAGGGCTAGAAATCCAAGGTATGGGATGCTGCTGAGTGCATCACCCGATCTGAGAAGTATTTGTGTGTTGCCTGGAAAGTGGAGGCCAGGGATAGACTAAAAGCCGAATAAAGTCCTTCATTTCATATAGGGGCCATTACAGGCTTGGGAACTACTCACAATTGGTCTTAACCACTCTATTTGGTGCAGTCTATCTTCTGAGAGCACTTTAGGGCCAATTGAGCTGATTTGTGCAGGGAATGTAGAATCTTCAAAGAGTAAGCCACGATCCAGGCAGTAGTCTCTCAGTTCAGTAAAGTTCTGGTTCTTAAAGTTCTGAGAGGAAGGCAAGTTTTCAATTTTCCCTGAATTTTGACCAAGTTTCTTCTGGTACATGTCAGCAGGTAGCTTCCTGTCTTCTTCCTATAAGGAGGAAATGGTAAAGGTGAAACCATCCTATCAATGTACATAGGAGTAGTGTACATCTCATAATTGAGGGAAAACCACCACCCTGTGGCCGATGTAATTATCCAGTCTGTTAGTCACATGCTAACCACTGGTGGACAACATCAAGTCCCTTCTTTTCCCTTCTTATGTTTTTTTCACCCAGAGTACTGTTGTGAAAACCCATAGGTGCAAAGAGCATCTCATAGTGGTTTTCCTCTCCCCGCAGGCTGTTCTTTGCACAATCAGTTTGATTACAGGTCATTTACTAGATTTTGTAACCAGCATGTGACCAGGTTTATGGTGGACAGCTTGCTGGTTGCATGATTGCCCCCACTAGACCAACAGGATTCTGGCTTTTATTTTTAAATGAGGTCTGGACTAGGCAGCTCTTCAATCAGAGAACTTCAAAATGCAGGATTTTCCTCTGGCAGGAGCTAATCCTTACTGTCTGGAACACTTGACAAAATGAATGTGGAGTGAGATGAAGTGAGATAATGTGTGACCTGAAAGTGTGATGAAATCAGCCCTGAAATTCAACCAATTCTTCTATTGTCTCATGTCCAACTTTAAATTTTCTTAAAGAGAAGTAAGAACAAGATGTCATGAAGCTGCTAAATTGTTAAATAAAGGCTACTAAAAATGTCACTTTTTAAAGGATTATTGGTCTCTCACTTCTATTACCACAAGCATAATCTCAAAAGTTTTCAATAGGGATGTGAATTGTGAAAATATTTGTATTTCTTTTGACAGTGCCTCTTTCCTTTATATATATATATTTGTTTGACATGAAAAGGACTACAGTAGCCCTCCCTTATCCACAGGATCAGTATCCACTGATTTACTTACCCACGGTCTGAAAATAGTAAAAACATTAAAAGGGAAAAATCCAGAAAACAAATATTTTCACATACAGTCAACCCTTGACTTACAAACGGCCCTAGTTACAACCATTTCGACTTATAAACCAGTCTGATAGAACAATGTTGACTCGACTTGCAAACTTAGATTTGAGTTACGACCTGAAAAAACCACGCGGGAGGTGGGGAAAGCATGAAATTTGAACTTTCAGTTAACCATTGGCCAGTGAAGAGGGTCCCTGTCTACTTCTTCGCTCTTCCCAGCATTTTGAGATTGGATTTGGAGACAGTCTTCAGACTGCCTGGTACTGCCTGGTATTGCTTGGTACAGTGCTGTATGGACTGTATTTTTATTTTTTGGCTTTTTTAAAAAATTGATTTTTGGAAAAGGTGTTCCCTCCCTCCTTTGCTGCCCCCCCTTTCCCCAAAAGGTGCTTGCATTGGCTTGTCTTGATTGAAAAGGTGCCTTTCAAGGTGATCTGTTGTCTGAAATGTGCTTGGTTTTTCCCAGAAGGTGCTTGTCTTGGTTGAAAAGGTGCTTTTCAAGGTGTTCTATTGAAAAGGTGTCTTTTCCCTCCTTCCCTCCCTCTTTTCTTTTCTTTTTTTAAAACTAAGTCATCTTAAGTTAAAAGGAAAAAAATAAAAAAATTTCTGCCCCTAGTGGTAGGAACGGATTAACCGGCTTTGCATTGCAGTACAGTGGTGCCTCGCATTACGATGTTAATTCGTTCCAGCGAAATCACTGTAGAACGAAAACGTCATAATGCGAAATTAAAAAGCCCATAGAAACGCATTAAAACCCGATTAATGCGTTCCTATGGGCTTGAAACTCACTGCCCAGCGAAGATCCTCCATGGCGTGGCCATTTCCGCTGCCTGTGAAACGAGGAATCCATCCCAGAAAAGAGCGGGGAGCCATTTTTTTTAACCCGGCGGCCATTTTGGAACCACCGATCAGCTGGCCGAAAATTGTCATTTTGTGAGAATCAGCTCCCGAAGCAGGGAACTGATCATCGCAAAGCGAAAAAACCCAATTTAAAACATCTTAAAGCTATTGCTTTTGCAATCACAAAAAGTTTGTTGTGATGCAATTTCGTTGTTAAATGGGGAACTCGTCTTGCAAGGCACCACTGTACATTACCAGAACTGGCTACTGGATAGAGTCAGAGACAGTGCTATGAATAATTGTTAGTGAAGAATACAGTTGCCAGTCCTAATAATGATTGTGAAAATATTTTTTTCTGGTTTTCCCCTCTTTTACCATGGTTTTCCCCTCTTTTACCATAGTTTACCATGGTATATATATGTAGCATTCATTATTATCCATGGTTTTCAGTATCCGGGGGGGGGGGCTTGGAACCAAACCCCAGTGGACATGAGGCTCCTCCTGTACCTCTTTTGGGTTCCCTGTTACTGTTTCCTCATTGTTTTCTGGCACTTAAAAAAATCTTAAAGAACTTTTAAAACCTATTCCAAAAACACAGAGGCAAGGCAACAGAGAATCAATGAACTCTAAAAGCAGGCAGCAGTACACGAGAAAGAAAAATCACAGTCAGAACTATGCAGACAGTAGTTTATATTATCACATTCATTTCTCAAGCAATTTGACAGACAAATGATGAAGGGAAACTGAAATTTTACACACAAAAAAGGAAACATGAAAGAAAAACAAAACTTTTGTTTATTCCTCTGTCATAAACATGAATCATTTGTATGCTCTATTTTTGGCAGTCTTCAGAATAACACAAATTACATAAAAGTCTCATTCAAACATTGGTCTTTCATTTACACATGAAAGGTCTATCCTTAGTTTCCATGAAAGGTGTCACCCTAGTTTCAAAAACAAAAACAAAAGATGGCTGCTAATTTCAATCATTTCGAAGAACTTTGTTCAGGCCTATCAAGCAACCAAAAGTCTAGAGACCAAATGCAACACATAAACTGTGTTGGGTTCTAGTTATTGCCTCATCTTACATTAACATAGCTGCCTTTTTAACAATCTGTGGCCATTGGCCACACTGCTATCCTGATCACTACTGTCAGTGAGTTTCTGTGTAAACAAAGTGATGTTGAATGGATCTCTTTGCCTCTGTGATGCTAGGTAGTTTCTCAGAAATTTTGCTTCCATTTAAAGGGGAAAAAAGGAAGGATAATCCTTCTTGGTGAGAACAGGGATCTTCAAATGATATAGAGGAACTTTAATATATGTTCTGTGCACTGCAACCTTCAGTATATTCTCAAGTGAAGACCTTTGTTGGAGAGGAAGGGCCATCTCTATCGTTACAATGCCATCTCTACCATTAGGCAGAGTGAGGCAGTTGGTTCAGATGACATATGCTAGCTGTGGTGGTAGCAGCAGCAGCAATTCCTTAGATGTTTTGTCTTAGAAAGTAGAGCTATTATGTGTTCTGGGCAGGAGGAAGACAGAAGATTTCATTCGGATCTGTGGTGATCCCTCTAAGATAGGAGTGTACTTCAACTCTTGTCACATGCCAGCACAAGAAATGTTGAGGAATATTGGATATTATAGGTATGCAGTGTACTAGGTAGAGTGATGGACTAGTACTCAGAAAATTTGGGTTTGAATACCTATTTGGCCATGGAAACTAACTGGGGGAGAGATGGCACAGTTAAAACAATTCCTTAAATCTCTCACTTACTTTGAAAAACCTATGAGGGTTGCCATGTCAGATGCAACTTAAAAGCACATAACAAACAATGTTATGGTTGAACCCATGTCAGATGCAACTTAAAAGCACATAAACAATGTTATGGTTGAAAAAGATTAAAAGGGATGCTCTTTGGCCATTCCTGTTCTAAACGTGATTGGCCATATTTATACCAAAAAGGATTTCAGTTAGAGAGGAATAAGGAAAAATCTACCAGAGATTTTGGACTCAATTTTTCCTGCCTCTTAATATTGTAGCCCAGCGATTTCCAACCTGGGTCCCCTGATGTTCTTGGACTACAACTCCCAGAAATCCTGGCCAGCATAGCTAGTGGTGAAGCTTTCTGGGAATTTCAGTCCAAGTTGGGAACCACAGCTCTAACAAGTTTGGGCACTAGGTTTATTGGGAAGCACTGGACAGAAATGGTGAAGCCTTCTGGGAATTTCAGTCCAAGTTGGGCACTGGGTTTATTGGGAAGCACTGGATAGAAACCAGTTTTATTAAGAATATTGATTAATTGGAATAAATTGATTCATAAATCAAACCAATATATTTCAAATATGATAAACTGATTTATAGTTTGGTTCTCCCAAACTGATTTGCTAGTCTTTTTCACAATATATCTTTCTGGCAACAGTCAGGAAACAAGTTTAGACAAACCATTAGGCTATTGGGTTTGCATGTTATGCTTTTTTTAAAAAAAAGAAAAGTGCCCCCTACAAACCAACAAGCACTTCTGTACCAGCTGTTTAATTAAGCGATACTCTTTCTTTCTAAGGAGAAATCAGATGAAATTCAGAAATAACCTTCCACTGACATGTAAAGCGAGCTTTCTGTTTTGGCTTCCATTTCTTTGCACAATGGAAATAAATCTTATGTAATGTAGCATAACATGACAAGAGAATGGTTTCCCCTTAACAAATACTCATTTGCAACAGTGCTCAAGCCCGCTGCATGCAAAGATCTATTTCCCGCAACAGTGTTCCAGCAAAACTGATTACTAATTCCGCAACTCAAATTAAAACTAACAGAGCTTGAAGGCTGAGACTGACACGTTCGTTCATTCTCTCTCTCCCTCCCTCTCCCTCTCTCTGTCTCCCTCCCTCTGCTGATGGAGAACAGCAAGAGTTTTTATCATGTGAGTGTGTGTGTTTAATTACATTGTTTAACACATTGGGAATAATTTAGCAAGTGGAGTGAAGAAAATAAGGCACTTAGCTATCTTCCGTTCTTCAGAACAGCCTCGTCAGCGCTGTAAGAACGGTGTTTGGATATCTCCATGGGTAAATGCAAAAGCAGTTGTTTTGCATATTTTAAAATTCACTGCCAGAGAGCAAGACGCCCATCACAAAGTACACATTCAAACACTGGACCAGCAGATTCTCTGTGATACTTGCACATGGGTGTTTGAAAGAACATAAGATGCCACTTTTGTTTGTCCATGTATAGCT